TAGCAACGAACGACTGAATGTGGAGCACAGCAGATAAACATGGTACGTTTTTACTGAGGGAGGAAAACCCGGAAAGACCCAGAAAAACCCTTGACGCAAGAAAGAGAATGAAAGAAACTCAAATCACATATGGCGGCCTGACCGAGATTCGAACAGGGTCCACAGAGGTGACAGGCCAGTGCTCTCGTCGCTCGGCCACCCRTGAATCCCTTGAGACATGTTGAGCTGTGTTATTGGCAATTCATCACCCAGGCTGTGCTGCAGGCGGATTGAACCCACAACCTTAAACTTCCTGATTCAGTAAGTTATACAATCACATACCTTGCCATCAACTTGTTTTTGCTGTGATTTAGGAAGGTAGGACATYGCTAGAGAATAGTTTTGAAGAGCTCTGTTCCAGTTGTGCCTGTACATGTCCTTGCTAATGGTCTCCATTAACTCAGCCACAGTCAAATCCATTGAAAACTTTGGRCCGTTTGGACCCTGATGTCTAGTTTTTAAACTAATTGACCTTTGAAGAAAAAATAAGTTATTGTAAACATAACTTGTTATCAATTATTTTATTATTGGATGTGTGTTGTTTGCATGTAGTTTAACTTTCTGAAGAAATTGATTTCTGATATATGAAGAATAGTCACTACAAAATTTAGACTTTCCAAATACAAATCAACAATCAAAAAAATGTTTGCAAACCATTGATATTTCACTTCGTGTCATAAATCAGCTCTCATTTTTGGTAAACATACTAAAAAACCTTGTGTGTTTTGCCATTTTCCTTAAGTACGAGGGGATTTTCCATTGAATTCTTGACACTGGGAGATCCAGAAATTTTGAGTCCCAGATTAATCAAAAGAACACTCCATTTTACAGTTCCAAGAACCATCTTGAAAGGTAACCAATCCTTTGCATCAAGGCAAGACAGAAGTTGAGCTTGCAGTGCTTAGATACCTGTGAATAATTGTCTTAGGTCCAAACAAGAGGTATCTATCATTGCAGGCTCAACTCCTGTCTCGCTTTGATGCAAAGGATTGGTTACCTTTTTAAGATGGTGCTTGGAACTGTATTGAAAGCCTGCATTGGGATTTGTATTGAGGCGTATATCCCACGTTTGATGCTGGCCTAGACATTTTAAGATATCATAGATTCATACATACCTTTCTGAATTCCCAACTAAGATAGGTTTTCTCAAAATCTTGATGCATATTCTAACCCAAGGTGGATATGGTCCAGAATGAGACGGTTGTAACATCAACTGCCGTTCATACTCTGATGATGGATGGATATACTTYGTGCAGCTAAGGTTACCATTGATTATTTCTTTCAGCCAAGACTCGTGTACCTTGTTATATACGACAAGAATTGTCAAAATACTTTCAACAGCGGAGTATTTTCCTCACAYGCTTAATTCCTGACCCTAAACCCGACATCAATGTCATTTGTTAACGCTCAGGCACTATCAAAAGAAAATTCGCTAAACTTGTTTCTTTTTCTAGCGCTATTTTATCGACTTACCAAACAAGAAATTGCGTTTCCTCTCTCTGAAACACATGGCTTCAAATGCGACGAGTCGATTCCAAGACTCCTTTCAACTAAAGCAATCACATCGTTGTCTGCCTGGTTGATTCCCATTTGTGGGAAATAGCTCACAAGAGCTTCATGTTAGAGGAAATAGACGATATTTCAA